CAAATCAAAATGTATTTTTTTTAAATGGAACACCCTGTATTTTATTTTATTTTTAGAATGGTTTGGTAATACTGTATTTAACCCTAAAATGTATTAAAAAATATTAGCAATTCATTTTTTTTTTTAATTAGAGAATGATGCAGACCCCACATTAAATTATCATAATTTAGGTAGGTTTACATTGATTTCAAAATTGTTTAATATACAGACTTATAAAATACTAAGCTAACGAATAGTGGTGATAGAACTGGTTTATTTTATACAGAGGGTTTTAAAACATGTCTTAAATATGGCTAATTTTAAGTTCAATTTACTCAATTTTTCAAACAAAACACCCTGTATATTATTTTGTCCTAAAATTCCTTATAAATTTGCTTATTTATCTATACCAAAATATTAGCCAATAACACAAAAACTTTGTATCCCATGAGTGCGTAATTGATCGATAGATGTTTTATTAGTGGAAATACGAAAAAAAAATTATATAAATTTGTATGACCATGTTTAATAAATATTCTTAAATATACATTTTTAAAGCAAAACACCTTGCAGGTAGTCATACATATTTGATAGTTTTCACATCGTCAAACCATTTTAATAGACTTCATTTATTTGCTGTAGGGTATATAGGGTGTGTCAAAATGGGGAGTAACGGTTTTCTCACGTTTTTAAATGGAATACCCTATAAATTATACCACCGACTAATTGATACAGGGTAATCCATTTTTTTGTATTTCTAATAATAAAACAGCTATCAATCCATTACGCACTAATGGGACACCATGTGTTATTGGCTAACATGTTGGTATCGTTGAGTAGGTAAATGTATTAGGAATTTTATGTGAAAATAATATACATTTAAAAAAAATTGAGTAAATTGAACTTAAAATTAGCCATATTTATGGCACGTTTCAAAACACTTTGAATAAAATAAACCAGTTCTATAACCACTATTCGTTAGCTTAGTATCATATAAGTATGTATATTTAACAATTTTAAAATCAGTGTAAACCTACCTAAATTATGATAATTTAATGTGGGGTTAGCATCATTCTCTAATTTAAAAAAAATAATTGTTTGCCAAAACTGTAATATTTTTTCAAAACATGCTAGGGTTGAATATAGTGTTAACAAGCCATTCTAAAAATAAAATATAGGGTGTTCTATTAAAAAAAACATAAATTTTTATTTGCCAGGCAAAAAACGTCTATAACACACATTAAAACATGGAACAATTACGCCCTGTATAAACAGATTCGTTTATTGACTTACGTTAGATTTAGGCTGTTTTTATTTTTATTAATTCCTCCTAGGTGCTAAAGTTACCTATTGAGCTAGGAATTCTAAATTTGTTTAATTGTGTAGATGATAGTCTAATAATTAACTTATTTAAACCTAAACACATGATTTTTTTCAGGACTAGGATATGGGCAATGAAAGCCAATCGAAAAGACCTTTTGGAGAAATTGGACGATCTATATAAAAGTTACAAGCTGTGTGAATGTCATTTAATTACGAGTATTAAAACTAAAATCCTAAAAGTGTCGGTGAAGATGAGGACAGAGCATCCCTGATCGAATCTAGGCCGGGAACTAATTAAATTAATTTTTTTTATGTTTATTTTATAAATTAGTAAAATTCGTAAATTATTTTAAAATTAGTTATTTTGTCTAAATAACCTAAAATAATTTATTTTAATTTGTAGATTTTCGTCAGTGGCTCGTAGAAAAAATATACTGTACAACTCGAGTGGATTGTCCATATCCACTCTTGTTGCACAAACTACTATTTATTTGTTTTCTTGGTTTAATGTTTACATCAGTAAATAGGAACTAAATTAACTTACTTTTCGAGTTTTCTTGTAAAAATCGATATTACTTTCTCCAAGTACAAATTTAGTACCTACCTAAAATAGGTACTAATTATATAATTTCGCATAATATTGTAATCTAAATTTCACATTACTATCAAGTTTCAAAATTCTCTACTTCGGTACGGTCAGATAAAAATATAATATATAAATAAAAACTGTCAAATTATTACTTCTACAAATCTTTATGAATAAAAATACATCTAAATAAAACCGATATTGTTAAAATAAAAGCACAAGTTACCGATTCTTTATAATAACCCAGAATATCATCGAGTTCCCAGACCTCAGTCAGTCGAAGCAGTCGTTTATCTAGGTATAAACACTATAAACCCTTTGCGCGATGAATGACACTTGCTAGATACACGGGGTACCACTTGATTTGCATCCACGGCCACAATTTGTCGTGAAGTGACTGTTTTAGCTCAAAACATCTGTTAACAAGGATATTACTAGCCACATACAAATTATTTTATCTCTAATCCGAAAGATGTGCTATTATTCGTAATATTTATATTTAAATAATTTTTTTATTTATATTCGATAGATTTAAAACAAATTTAAAACCTAATTTTTCAAAACTTACTTAATGTGGCATGTAACCAACCTTATTACGCCAAGATCTTCAATTATTTCAATAATAAATATATTTTTTAATCCGGGCCCGACTTTTCCGTCGAATCTAACAGAGATAGCACCATTCCGTCTCGCTTGGTTCTCGACCGCCACATCAAAGACGCCGACACGGAGTTGTGGAGCTGTATTGTATAAGCTGTGATCCTTACGTGAGACAATCAGTTTTATGATAGACATTATACGTTGATGTTATCAGTTGTATAGTTGAATTATTGTAAAAGTTGAGGCACCATATGGTACATACACAATACAATAGTATGTTTAAAAACCAGCTAAACTACTTCTATTACACAAAACTTAGTAATGATGCTTGTTATTGTTCAAATATTGTTGAAATGCTGTAATTTTGCTCAATTTAAATAGTTGTTTCGGTATTCACTGTTATATTCTGAAATAAAACTTTGTGATTTAAATTCACTTGTAACAAACGATACTTAATATAGGTACTATTTGTTTATTCTCCACCTAGCTCAATAACAAAAATGAAATAGCAATCCTATATTTGAATCGCCTATTTCAGAAACAACCTAAGTCACATTTTGGCCACTTTAAGTTTATTACGCCAACACTTATTTTTGGAGGTAACATACAATTTACTTCTGAAAGAACTTAAGTCTCGTAAGCATCGTTGCTTTTGTAACGATTTAAAATATTCTGAACAACCTTAGTCCCGGACTTATTTTTTTAATCTCCTGAAAAGTCTTAGGTTGTTTCTGAAATAAGCGATTCATTTATTTTTGAGAGTACCTACTTATTTTATTTTACTCGACGAATCACCAGAGTAACAACTCTCAAAAATTTTTTTTTCTGTAACTACCAGTTAGAATCTTTTTGCTTTACTAAGTTTTCTCTATAAACTCTAAACTGAAAGCAGATTAGAATTCCATAGTATATCTCCTCGTCCTTGGCTATATAATATCGTCCGTTTTGTGTTCTACAACCCAATATTAAATTTTAAATTACATTAACGTTCGTTCGTACTATAACCTCTTGTTTAAGGGAACCATAAAGAAAACTTAAGTAAAGCCCGATGACTAGAAATGTATGGGCTAACCTATTTCAATAGAACGATAAAAAGGATTCATGCAAATGAAGGCAAGCCGGGCAAAATTAACGGGCAGTTTTGAGCTCCTTTTAACAATATTTCACTTATAAAATACGTATATTGCTCAATATTTGCTTTTCAAAGATACATACATTGAAAGAGATTTTTAAACACAATTAAAAAATCTTCTAAAACCGAAAATGTATAAAATTTATCGGAATTCAACGAATATATTTCATGCATATTTTCAAAGGTAATAAATATTATTAGTGGTATGATTATTGACTACAATTTATTGAAATGTCATTTATTTTATTTATTGTTTAATTTTAATTTTAAACAAGCATTCATCCTAATTACATGAAATTACAAAATTAATTTAGTAAAAACGTTATATACAGGGTAATGAAAAAGTCTGACAACAAGTTAATTGATTTGAAACAAATGAATGTATAATTATGAGATTAGAGGGTAATGAATGGGACTATATTTTGCATTTTTAGAAGACATTTTTGTGATGTCAGTGTTTAGCGTACCGGTGCCATCTTTAATTTTTTTAAATGGCAACGTAGATCGACAAAAAGTACCACATTACTAATGAAAAACCCTATAACATTGCAGTTATATTAAAATATAAACTCTGTAGGTATTGATTGCCTTTTCACGAAGGTTATAAAAAATATAGGTCCACAAATTGCATATATTTTGGCAAACAACACAAATTTTTCAATAGAATTTGGAAGTTTTCCAACTGACTTGAAAGTGGATGTTATTACTTCTATTGGTAAAAGTGAAAATCGTCTCTGTGTTGATAATTACACTCCAATAACTGTCCAAGCGGTTATTTGTAAAATAATTGAAAAATGTATTTATAAACAAATTGTATGTTTTCTCAAAAAACATAATTTGATAACAGATCATTAAAATGGGTTTTTTTGGCCAGGAAGATCAACGGAAAGTGCGATCACTGCTCTTCTTATTTTATTGACAATTTTTTAAATTAAAAATATTTTTTTTTAGCTTTCGAAAGGTTTTGATTCAATAGATATTAATATATATGCAAATCGATCCATGGAGTCTTAAAATGTACTCAACCTTAGAACCTCCCAAATAAATTGAATTTGAAATTTTTACTGTTGTATTTAACCTTATGCACAGAGAACGTAAAGACCATAAAAACGCGTCGAATTTTGTAGGACTTGGGGATTGCCTAATTTCAGGGGACTTACACGTCACACTAATGTAGTATGTTGGTGCTTGCCAGGCCAGTTCTGCCAAATCAATCCAATCTGTTACGATGGAACCATATAGATATTTACATTTAATCAATTTACTAACGAATCTAAAATATTAAATTATTTACTATTTAAAAATTTGGAAAAAGTATTATCACAAAATGTATATCTATTATACTTACAATCCGATTAAAATTAACATAAATTATTTTAGTTTTAGATGAGGTCGGAACGAAAGAAGACAAAGCGTCTGGCGAACCATCTTTAAAAACTAGGAGCTTACCGGCCTGGGTGAGATCGAAACCTAGGCCTTTATCAACAGAAGATGATATTAACGATTTATATGCAAAGGTAATAAAAAATTATATTTTGTGATTTTAATATTATTCCAAGAGGGTTAAATATTCCAAGTTCCAATATATTTTCTATTTAATCTGTTATATTTAATAACGTTTTTTGTATAATATTGAGTAAATAACTTATGATAACTCACCAAAGGACTAAAACTATTATAAATGCAGGAGTGAATCAACTCACATTCTAAAATTTTCTAAGAAATTAATCAAACATAAGTTACTCTTAATATAGGGTGAATATGTTAATAATGGACACCCAAGACAATGTTTCAAATGTAATAGTTGATTCTATACAACTTTGGTAAACTCAGTAGATAGCTAATTTACATTTACATTATTTACAGCCTCCAAAAACAACTTTTTAACATCACTCATTTTAAAAGAATTATTTTTTCTTGAAACTTCTCCCTTTATCTGTGCCCATATCAGTTCAATCGGGTTTACCTCGCAATGATATGGTGGTGATCTAACCACCGTCATCCCACGATTTTTTGCAATTTCATCAATTTCATATTTTTTGAATTTCTCTTTATGAAGGGAACATAAATGATACAGTTCTTTTCTCATAGAACTGGGATGGAACTTAATATTCTTTGAATTTAGCCAATTCTGTAAATCTTTTTTTAACCACTTGGTTGTGGGCATTTTTTCTATAAGTCTCGAGTGATAACTTGCATTATCCATTACTATTATACAGTTCTGAGGAAGAAGATCTATAATTTGTTCGAACCACTCTTTAAAGACATCAGCATTCATGTCCTCATGGTAGTCACCGGTACGAGTAGATTCAAAAGTCAATAAACCACCTTTAACAAAACCGTTTGAACTACCGATGTGTACTATTATTAGTCTGCGCCCCTTTCCTGATGGTGGATTTAAACCAGTAGATAAATTATTTAAAAAAGCCTGTCTTCGACTTGTAACAGTTTCATCTTGCCAAAATTTATTTGGTTTATGTCCCTCGTTGATCCATGTTTCATCTAAATAAAATATATTTCTTCTTTGGTTTCTCATTTCTTTTATAGTCCTTAGGTAATTTCTTCTCCATACTACAATATCGCTTCTTTCTATTAAAATAGACTTTCTGGAATGCTTTTTCCATAGAAAACCTATTTCTTTTAAAAGTTTCCATAGTGTGCTTCGACTCATTTCAGGGTAATCCTTATCATCTCGAACCGTGGCAAGAACTTTGTCTACTGTCGGAAATTCTTTTCTAAAGAAGAACGCATGCACTTTCCTTCGAAGTCTTTCTTTCAAAAGATTTTCTAATTGAAATTTTGGTTTTCCTGGAGCTTTACGTGGTGTTTGAAACTCGCCACATTTCTCTTAACAACTCTGTAAATCGTAGATTTCCCAACACCAAGCGTACTACTAACTAATTCCACTGTGTCATCAACACTTTTACATAAATGTTTGTCTGTAAATGATTTAAAACAATTAAATATTAATGTTTTTTCATTAACTGTTAAAGGGCCGATTTTTTGTCGTTTACGCGGCGCTTCCAAATTTTCCATGATCACACTAGAATTCACGCTGCACCTTGCAAGTTGCAACTAAACGAAATTTAGTAAACTGTCAAGAATACACAACTTGGACCTCCTTACTAAATGGAAAACCTATAATCGCATTTTCGGTGAAATTTGTTGGGAAGGTATTTATCTACTTATAATTCGATTACTGTAAGAAATTCTTGGAATTAAAATAAAACAAAATTGGCAAATAGGTACCTTATTGAAAATAATCTTAAGATACGGCTATGTAATCTTTAATACACAGGGCTTTTGGCCTGTCCAAACCTTTTTCTATTGTTCTGTACAGCTTATGTTTATAAAGGACCAATAAAAGACCAAAAACTTGTAATAGCTCAGGTACATTTATTACAATTTTAGGAAATATTAAAAATATTTAAAATGACCGTACTAAGTTTTGCATTAGAAATGCTGTTTTATTACTCTCTCATACATAAAAATAGACTATAACCATGGACCGGATTTCAGCACCTTCATTGTCGTGTTTCATTATCAACCTTACAATAGAAAGAAAATAATATTTTAATGCCACTTTTTACCTTTTCAATATATAATAGGAAATGTGGAAATGATTAAATTGAATACTAATTATTACTTTAACGAAACATACAGAAGTAAACCTGTCTCCATCTTGATTGCCAATAATCTAGTGATAGCTTATATTTTACTCACTTGGATAATATTTCTCTTTATAATTTATAATAGCATATGTTCCAACTTGCAGCTCTATTTCACCATAATCACTTAAATCCATATCATCATCGTAAGTTAGAATCAGAATCAGAATTGTACTCTATTTTTTTCTTTAATGTAGTATTTTTTGTTGCAAGAATTAAGTCTTCACTCTTTTTGCAGAACTTGTTCTTGTCTTTTTCTCCTATATTGTCCACAAGAAACCACGGCTGGGTAAACTGTTTCTTTTTGGGGTTGTCTTTTCAGATGTTCTTGGAAGAACCAAATTTTTTTTGAATGGCGTAGAGATTTTAATTCCTTCTTGTTCTTTAGTTTCATAGTAGCAGTCTTTAACATCTGGAGGTGTCTTCTACACATAACATCCTGCTATTTCTGTTGGTTCAACAGACTTTTTAGGAGTTACCTCGCCACAGCTCTGCGTAATATTTTTTAATGTAGAAATTGGCATTTGTGAAGGAACAGAAACAGTAGGTGTTATTGGTATATTGATTGAGATTCTTAGTGTATTCACAATATCATTAGTTATAGATGTATTTGTAATTAGGTTTTCGTTATTTAAATCGTTATCACTTTCAGACGTAATAAACCAAACCTTATACAGGTTCGTGCGTATTCTTTATTTCCCAGCCAATTATGTCCACTTTCATGTTTCTAAAAACCAAACCAGCTCTTCTCTGCTTATTCTTTTTCAATTTCCTGAAGAACTTTCCTTTGAAATGTAATTTGATTTTTTTCAGGATTTACATGTTTAATAATTTGTCTATTCGAAATGCATTTGAAATAATCCGCCTTGGTTTTATCCCAAAGGTATAAGCCACACTTTCGAAACCCATTCTCAATGGTTGTAGTTTTGGCATACTGCGTAACCAACTTAGGACATTTTTACGAATTTCCAGTCTCTAATAGCCATCGTCCATGCCGATTTTATTGATTGCAGAAAACGTTGCCATTATCGTGATCTGATATTTTTCAAAACTGACTCTTTCGTAAAAATCCTCTTTTGACTTTGCAGGTCCTAAACCCTTCCCACTTTTAAGGCATAATTGAAAACCTGCTTCATCCCTATTGAATATCCTACTTGGGTTAAGGAGAATATGGTCCAATTTATTTTCCTGTAAGTACGTGAATATTTCATCGAACCAATTATGGATACGGTCTTGTGTAACTGCTGAACTTTGCTAACTGACTCTGTATGTCCTTGTTTTATATTAGGATGCCGACGATGGAAACCTTCAAACCAAGATCGTCCAGATAGAGAAGACACTTATGAATCGAGTATCTCTGCCACTAGCTTCTAAAATTTTCTTAGCAGTTTTTTGTGTACAGGGAAACCTTTATCGACCATTACAAGAATCCAGTTTACTAATAAATCCTCCTCTGTTTTAGACAGTTTAGGTACAGGTCCCATTTTTCTGGACAGAAGAACTTTCCCTGACAGTTTCCTAATTAGAGTGCTTCGTGGGACATTATATTTCAAAGCTGCCTTCTTGTTCAAGCCATTTTCCTTTACCTCTTTTTGCATGTCATCCTCCGAGTAAACAAAGAATGACCTTTGTTTCTTCTTATTCCTATTTTTCATATAAATAGTGAAATTATTTTTATTCTAAGAAATTTACTTGTTTTACACCCACCATGTCCATCATTGGTGTATTACCAAAATCATTGTTTGAGTAATGGTCATCCCTTCAAAACTTCCTTTTTTATTAAAGTAAAATAATTTAACTCATTATTGACTTACCTGCTATCCTATTAAAGAAAATACTCGATTTTTATTAAAAATATCGTTCACAGTATCTCAATTTAACCACTGCATGTTATAAACTTTAACATAATGTTATAAACTTTAACATTAAATCACTAGTTCAGATTCGATCATTTTTAACCGACTTCAAAAAAGGAGGCAATTCGTCGCGATATTTTTTTTTATGTATGTTCAGCGATAATTCTCCAGCACGGTGTCCGATTTCAATGATTCTCTTTTTTGTTAGAAAGGGGGTACTTCAGGGGTGGTCCCATATATATTTGGTCAAAATCTAATAATTGGGTCCATGAGAAAATCCTCAAACTCTTCATTTTTTATGTATGTTTAGCGATAATGCTTTACCACCTTGTCCGATTTATATGACTCTTTTTTTGTTAGTAAGGGGATACCTCAGGGGTGGTCCCATATAAATTTGGTTAAGATGCGCGTCTGCACGTTTTTGAAGTCGGTTTTTTTTAATTTTTAATTTCTAATCCCTTAGATAATATAATAGCAGATAGGCCACCACTGCATAAAGTTATACAATATTAATCTCGCTATCATATAATCAGTATCTCTCTTTCTAATGAAGGCCTTCTCACTCGTTTTAGAATTCTCAGCAGTAGCGTACCGTAAAACAATTTCGCAGGGTCATTTTAAATGCGAAAATGTTGACCAAATAGAATATAAAATAAAATGTTTTAAAAGGTAGGTAGGTGCATTTTTAATGAAGTTAAAACAAAATATGACTTTTTTGTTATGAATATAATATTAAAAACAATTACTTTTAACACCACAACACGAACAATTTTAAATTAAACACTGGAATAATTGTCTGAGAAAAGCTCTGTAAAACTGACAAATACAAACAAAGAGATAGAGATATTAATCTAATTCTCTCTAATTAGAATTCTCGACCATATTATCATGGCGACACAAACATTGTTTACTGTCCTCTCTTTACTACTTACTTACTCTGAGTCTAATCCTTGTAAAAAATTGACGTCTACGTCATAACACAAGAATAAATAATTGTTATTTATTCTTATGGTCATAGTACCCAAAATTTGTAATCTGACACACAATAATAAACATTGACCTTACTATACATGCATGTGGACATGCATTTTCAACTCATCTTTTAGAAGTATTGAGTATTTGAGGGGATTAGGTGTCCATTACTGGAGCAGTGGCTATTATTGGCACATTTACCCTACTTCAATGTATCAAATCCAAATATGTTTTAAAATAAGGTTATTGGACATTATTTTCATTACATTCGATACAATAAAATATTGAATGTTTAAGGCCAAAGAAAGAATTTGTACTCGTAATAAAAATTTGTAAAAAATTTGCACGATTTTCATTATATACCATTCATTCCCTCACTCTGACTCTCCAATTTTGATATTCTGACTCTTTAGTAAGACTCTCTCTAGATAAATATTGGCTCTGAAAAATTTGCAGATGAAACAACAATTGATCTTTAATTCAGGAGTTTTTATTGGCTGATTCTCACTCTCCTAGGATTTTTTTTTTAATTTTATGCCGCCTTTTACTTTCTTGACTTTTCAATTTGGCATCTACATCTAATTTCTTTGGAATCTACAAGAAATTTATTGAAACCTATTTTAAATAGGATTTAAATTTATCCACGCTTTTGAAAGCCTGCGAAATATTTAAATTCTTAGTGTGCAGAATATATTTTACATTAACTTTACTTAATATTAGATGAATTATTAATATGGAATATTAGATGGTTTAGATCTTAGCACCTGGCATCTTATAAAGATTTTATTGTTGATACATTCAAATATTATTGTTTAAATTAATTTATTTAAATATTAAAATTATTGTATGATACACGCAGTCCCTGATCAATGTTGTTCTAAAAACTTTTCTTTCTGTTATTTTAACACATTCTTCCCATGCTCTAAAATTGAGGTATAGTTAAACCAGAGATCTAGTGACTATCATAAAACAGCAGGTAATTTACTTATCAGTAGGCGGCCGTCTCTACGCAGAGACGTACCCTACTCTAGACATTAAGTTTCGTTCTATAGGTCAATAATTGGGTTAAAATAAATATTAAGAAAAATAGCTATAATTCAGAATTGTTTATTTAATTATACAGTGTTTACAAAAAGTAACGTGGTAACTTGGTAAAAGCAAAAATCGGTATGACAAAGTACGAAAAAAGTAGGTAGGTAATAAAAGTACTAAAAATTAAAAAATAAAGTATTTAAAAGTACAAAATATAGGTTGAATATATAAAATATAATTATTAAAAAGTATAAAGTGTAACTTGGTAAAAATAAAAATCTGTACCTATGACAAAGTACGAACAAGTAGCTAGGTCTTTGTGATTGTTTCTACCCTTACACTGAAGAATCTATTCATAATAAATAAAATATTAAAAAATTAAATGTAAAAATTCCACTATTGTCAATCCTGACGATAGAAGTTTATGCTTCTGAAACAATTATCGATTTTGAATTACTCAAATAAGTATTTAATATTAATATAGTGGAATTTTTACATTTCATTTCCTAATATTTTATTTATTTAAACAAATTTAAACAAAATTACTCTCGAAGTTGTTTCACTTTCACTATCGTCATCCAAATTAATAATGAACCTTTCTCTTGGTATCTTTTCTATATCAATATATGTCTTTTCCGCCTTTTTTATGTGGGAAACACACTTGGTCCAGCTGCTATCAGGAATTTTTGCAGCTTCTGTTTGAATAAGAGCTACCACAGTCGAAATTAAGGTTGGAGAAGTATTATTCGACATGGACGGAACATTTTTCACAATATAAAATTTGTAAGACACTTCGAAATAAACGCAACTGACATAACGGAATATTCGTTAATGACTGAATTTAGTTTAACTACTATCCTCCTTTCGTTTCTAAAAAGGGTAATTGGTCAGTTCTAAAAACAGTTACATACTAACTAACTCCCCATTATTTATTTAACTTTCTCCAATTTGTCTGGAATTATAGGACTCGATATCTTAATAATATTCTTGTCTTCAAAGTCTGGTAATTTATTTGTAACTCTATTATCGCTATATTATCGCTGTAACTCATTATCGCTAATCTCCTTAATAGACGTTTAGTACAGAAAGTCAGGTGGTCAGGCAAGTAAATTTTATTTATAAGTACTTTAAATTCTAGGAAATTTTTTATTATAAAAATAGTTTTACATTCAAAACTGTTAACAATTGAAATAGAGAGCCCTCAATTATATTATTAAAAAAAACATATTCTTTACTATTTTATGAGAATATATATTTTAATCCGGACCTGGGAATCTTTTAACCAACAGACAATTTTATCGCTTATCTACAAATCGAACAATAGTGATAATGAGGATGAGGATTGTCGGCTAATATGATTTATGAGAGTCACTAGATCTCTGGTTTTACTTTACCTACCTATCTATATTCTTATTGGTGGTTTAATAGATATATTTTTCATTGCTTTGTAGGTTTTGAGTTACTGCTACTTTATTTAATCTTATTTTGTATTATTTACAGGTAAATTTCAGCAAAAAACGAAAAAATCGAATGCGCAACGATGAAGCAGCAATAATAGCTCTAAGCAAATCTAGGAGTCAATTCTTGCACAAAGACACTGACTCCTTAGTCGACAACGAGGCTGTTATAGTTTACGATGAACGCACAGCTTTGTAGATTTTTTTATACTTTAATACCAAATATAGATTGTAAGTATTTAAAACTATAGTGTACATAAGATTAAAAGATTATTTAAACGCATATATCTTGTGGCGGCACTTTTAATAAGTGTCAACGATTCAAACCTTTTTTTCAAGAACCGTCAGCTATCTTTTATTATTGAATGAAAGATAATATTGAGTAGAAAAGAAAACGAAAGGTTCTTTGTATGTCACAAAGTCATTAATTAAGCTAGCGGTTTCGAAGTAGGTTACTTCATCTTCAGGTACACCTAATTGGATTGTCATGAAGTCAATATATTGAAAAGTGAAAATATATAATACAGAAAATTAAAATTAAACAAAAGTTAAACAATTAAGGGTAGAGACAAGATTAATAATAATTTAATTTACGGATTACCTACCCAGGTTAACGTAAAAAGAAGTAAAAGGGTCACTGTGTCTGTTTAAATTAGTTTAAGTTGAGAAAAAAATACAACAGTCAATTAAATTTAAAATTAAAAAAAAATCATTTAATGAACAAACATTTAGCAAGATTTAAAAAAAAATAAAATTGTTTTAAAAAATAAAGCAGTTGAAATTATGACAGTCCATCTATAAAGTAAGTTGAGAACTAAAAAAATAGGTACCTGTATTGACCTCTATTAGAAACAATAAAATTAGCTAATGATTCTTAAATAAGGAAATTAAAAGTTAATTTCAAAACCAAAGAAATATAAATGAAAACATTTTAAATAATAATATAATTAAAAAATTAATCAAGAATTTTTTGTTTTTTAAAGTGTGTATTATATTAATATAATCTTGTCTTTAATATTCCTCATGGACTTTTGGCTTATTTAGCCATTATCAGGACTCTAAACAAAATTGAGCAGAACATTATTTTTTAATTGTTTTGTTATTCCGAAATCTATTTGTGACGAGTTAGTTTTTTACTTGTTTTCGACTTGCTTAATTTTGTCCTGATGTTGCATACTTTAAATACAAAAAGTTCTTGCTTTATTTCTCAATAATTACCCAATGTGTATACATAGCTATGACCTTCTTGGAGTAATTTAACCGCTTTTAATTATTTATTTAAAAAATGTATAAAATAGGTTATTTTTTTAAATAAAAAAGTTTATGGACAGCAAATACTTTGCTGAACCACCCGGTGTATTAAAAATGTTATACGGATATTGTGTTTAAAATATTTTTTAATCTCACTCGTATCTCAAATTACCAAGTAGTCCCCTTCACTGTAAACTACGATATCATAAAAATTTGACATATCGTATATGTATAAAACATGTAAGACTTTGTGATCGACAAATAAAGTTGGTAGTTCTATAAGTTAAAAATTGTAATTAAATTTTCTACAACCGTTGAAAATTTTGATGTTCTTTTTTTGTGTAAACTAAGCCAAAAATATTGCCGGTCTATGATATACTAAAATATTGTTTCTACGATCACTATCCAAAGTAGGCCTTTGCGTTTCGAAATACAACCGCAAAGTTGACGTTTTCCGCGAACTGACATTAATTAAGTGACAGCTTTGTCGCTCGCCGAGCGAAAGACTTGACTGCTTTGTTGTTCGCCTAATTTAAATTAAATTAAAATATAATAATAATAATAATAATAAATGATTTTCAAGTTATTTGTACGTAGTTTGATATTTTTTGTTTTATTGTCCAAGTTAACATTGACTATGAATTTCACCTCCGTTTTTCATGATTAACGTAGATATAGGCAACACATTATACACTACTTACGACAAATTTTCAGTTTGTATATCTATTTCTTAAAATAATGTGATCGTAGAAAAAATCTTGTGTGCATTTTGAGCAAAAAGTTCGTTGCCGCTTTCGAAAGCTTGCCGCGCTCCGCTACGCGTCGCGCGGCCAACTTTCTGTCTCAAGCGACAGAGTATCACTTTTCGCTCTTAATACACAAATAGCTATTTTTCGAGTTTCTGATTTTAAAAAACTTTTATATCCATTATTTTTGTATTTAGTGCAAAAAAATATATCGTTTGTATATATACAGGGTGTACCAATAAAACTCCCGGGCCGGATATTTTGGTAAGTAATAGATATATTTTAATTCTGTAAAAGCCATTTTACAGATCACTAAGAAAGCTTCCGTTTTAGATATAAATCGATTTTAAATATATGTAATAGAATGATTGGAATATTACGTAAACAAAGGGCTGATTGTAACAGTCGAAAAAAATAAGATAAACGTGTCTCAAACGCGCTTACCTTCTGTGCTGCATCATATAGTTCGTCGGATGAAGTAGGTGGTAGTATTAGTCCAGTAGCCAAGACCGGGCCCGGTTACACAATTTATATAACAACGTTTATTATACAGGATTTATAATAGCGGATTTAACGGCACATACACACCACAAAGCGTTCGTCGCGGCAATTTCTGTAGTACTCTTCGTCCAACGGCGTTTCACTTGTCTTACAGTTAGACGAAGCGCATGTGTGGGCCAAAGTTTTAAGTAAGCGATTTGAGACAAAGCGCGAATATTTAAATAATAAAATAGGAATTAATTCATTCTGGAACATTTCCTGCCCCGAAAAAATGTAAATAATACATTTTTAAACTGATTAGACAATTCCCCAAAATAAAAACTAAATATTAAAGCAAAAAAAAGGAAAGTTCAAATAATAGAATTAAACCAAAAAAACAATTATAAAATACTACAGGTAGCATATAAAAAAAAAAAAAATTAATTATTAGGTAGTGGACACAGTTTTACCAATGGCCGTTTTAAAATAAAATTTTGTGTTTTTACCGTAGCTACTCTGGCTATGTTATCATTACCAAAATGCAGTTGAGTAACACGGCCTAACAACCATTTATTAGGAGGTAAATTATCGGTTTTAACCAAAACTAAAGTACCAAGTTTGGGGGTGTTAGCAGGGTCTAACCATTTGGCTCGCTGCTGTAGGGTATGCAAATATTCTTTATGCCAGCGACGCCAAATATCTTGATGGATGCGCTGTAACAATTGCCACCTAGAAAGGCGATTTAGGGGGACGTGTTCGAAACTGGGAACGGGAAATGCGGTTAAAGGTTCCATGGTCAAGAAATGACCGGGCGTTAAGGCGTTGATATCGTCGACATCATTAGATATGGCAACTAGTGGTCTAGAATTTAATATGGATTCTATAAGTGTCAGAACTGTATAGAATTCCTCAAATGTGAGAATTTGATCACCTACGACGCGGCGAAGGTGAGTTTTAACACTTTTAACGCCAGCTTCGGCTAGACCATTAAAGTGAGGAGCTCCGGCGGGGCTAGGAAACCATTGAATAGTTTCACTTGCGCTGGCCTGTTCCATAAGAGAAAGCAATTCGCGTTTTGCACCCATAAAATTTGTGCCACAATCACTGTATATCTGTGAGACTTTTCCACGCCTTGCAATAAATCTTTGTAGAGCGGCTAAAAATGTTGGTGTAGATAAATCACTGGCAAGTTCCAAATGTACAGCTTTGGTAGCCAAGCAGACAAAAATGCAGAGGTAAGCTTTGCAACTTTTTACTCCTCTGTGACGACTAATAGTTATATTAAATGGGCCTGCGAAATCAACAGCGGAGCGACCGAAAGGTTTTACCTCAGACACTCGAGACAGCGGCAAATTTCCCATTGGGGGTTGATAAGAGGTAGGAGATGTTTTCCAACAGCGTAAACATTTCGAAATCACTGAGTTAATGGCTCGTTTTGAGGATAGAACCCAAAACTGTTGAGCTAGTAAGAAGTGAGTACTTCTAAAGCTAGCATGAAAATACTTTTCATGAATGTGGCGAATGACGAGTGTAGTTAATAGACTTTGTCTAGGTAATAATATGGGGTGCTTAGATGAATAAGATATAGATGCATTATGCAGTCGACCTCCCACTCTAAGAATATTGTTATCATCTAAAAAAACATTCAACTTACGTAGAGGTTTAGAAAAACGTTTGGACTCAATTTCTTCCTGAAAGTGAGTATATTGAGTAGTTTTTACCAAAACAAGAAGGGCCGAATACAATTCGTCGGTGGAAAATATGCCACAATGTTTAGAAAGCGGGTGTTGACAATTGTAGATAAAGCGCAAGATGAAACTTAAAATATTTTGAATAGTAGTCAAAGAAGAATAATTTTCAAGCATAGAAATTACAAAACTCTCATTGTTATGATTGAGTAATGTTGAAAATAATATCATTTTACGTTGTTCTTCTTTGGGAAGCGTAACCTCATTAGCAGAAGATGGGAAGGTAGGCCAAGAACTTTCATCTTCGTAAAGAAATTCAGGACCGGTTAGCCAATATTTATAGGTTAAGAAGTGGGAAGGAAGAGCCCCTCGCGAGGCTATATCTGCGGGGTTAATAGCAGTATTCACATACGACCAATTATCAGGAGAGAGATTTTCTTGAATGAAAGATACCCTGTGGGCGACATAAGTTTTCCAGCGATTGGGACATCCCTTTATCCAATGCAGTACGATTTGAGAATCGCACCACGCGCGAATTTTTATAAAGCTAATTTGGTTACAAAAATTCGTTTTAACATAAAGAATTAATTTAGTCAGCAGAACGGCTCCACAAAGCTCTAAGCGAGGGATAGTAAGTTTCTTGGTAGGTGCGACTTTAGATTTGGAACAAATAAATGATACTTGAACGGCATCTGTTTCGTCTTTAATACGAAAATATATTACACAACTATAGCCTCGTTCGCTAGAATCACAAAACCCATGAAGTTCGAATTGACAATAATTAGAATATGAAATTAACGTAGAATATTGACGAGGAATTTTTAAATCGGCAAGCAAAGGTAATTCTGACTGGTATTGTTCCCAAAGTTGAGTAATAGACTCATCTGGAACTACATCCCAATCTAACCCAGAACGCCATAATTTCTGAATTAAATGCTTGCAATAAAATGTGATAGGTGAAATAAAGCCTAACGGGTCATAAATTCTAGCAAGTTCAGAGAGAAGTGTGCGTTTTGTACAAGGTTTATTTTGGACAGGATTAACAAGAAAGAAGAATGCATCATCACAAGGATCCCACTGAAGACCTAAAACTTTTATAGAACTTTCATCAGAAAGCGAATTAAAATCGAGCGGTTGTTTAGCTAAATCAGAAGCGGGAAGAATTTTTAACAAATCAAGGTTATTACTTGACCATTTATGTAGTTGAAAGCCTCCTAATTTCATAAGAGAAACCAACTCAGAAACCAGCTGTTTGGCTAGTTTTAAACTAGAGCACGAGAAAACAAAATCATCAATATAGCAGTAATTTTCGATTGCATGTGCGGCTAGAGGAAATCTGTGTCCTTGGTCTTTCACTAATTGTTTGAGGATTCTTAACGCTAAAAATGGTGCACTACTAATTCCATATGTAACTCGAGTTAATCGATAATCCCGAACTGGTTGGGTTGGAGAAAATCTCCAAAGAATACGTTGATAATTGCAATCTTGCGAATTGACTAAAATCATTCGGTACATTTGTTTAATATCAGCACACACAGCAAAAGCATTAAGGCGAAAATATAACAAAATAGCACATATGTCCTGTTGTAACTTGGGTCCAACAAATAGACAATCATTAAGAGATTTCTGATTAGGTAAATGAGCAGAAGCGTTAAACACAACCCTTAATTTGGTTGAAATACTATGCGGCTTTACCACACAGTGGTGCGGAATATAATAAGCATTGGTTGAGGAAAGCGATTGACCAGAAATTAATTCCATATGGCCAAGGTCAAGAAATTCCTTTAAAAAAGCAGAATATTCTAAATACAAATTTTCATTCTTTAATAATCGGCGTTCCAGAGAATGAAAGCGAGATAAAGCAAGGTCACGAATACCAGCAAAAGGCGGAGGATCACTCTTAAAGGGCAGTGACACGCTATATCGACCATTAGTATAGGTATAAGAATCTAAAAACAATTTTTCACAAAGGTCATCATCACTAGAAAAGGTCGTAGTTTCGGGTATTTTTTCAACTTCCCAAAAATTGGTTAAAGTATTATTAAGTTCTCGAATACAAGAAGATTTGCAAAAAAACGTGGACATAACAGGACGAGGTATTGAAGAAGTTTTTCCCAAAATCACGTAACCAAAAATTGTATGAATGGCATCAGGTTCAGATATGGTTCCGGTAACATGTCCATTTAATAATAGTTTTGGAAAGACATCTGCCCCAAGTAACAGATCGACAGGACCTGGAGTAAAATATTTGGGATCAGCAAGCTTAAGATCTAAAAGATGAGACCAATTATGAATAGGTAATGTAGAATCAGGAAGGTTATCACATATTTGATTAACGATAATAGCATCTAGATATATTTTAGGTTCTGGCTGATTAAGGGGTTTGCACGTTACCCCTACACGAGCGGTGTCAAGGGTAGATGTCATCGAGTCTAAACCTCTAATATCTACGGAAAATTCGGTTTGGGCAAGATTTAGACGAGTAGCAGCTCGCTTGGAAATAAACGAGCTCATACTTCCTGAATCTAGTAAGCAACGATATGAGCGGTAAATTCCTCGATTATCAAGAACATCGATAAGGGCGGTAGCTAATAAAATTCGACTTGATTCTATTACTCCTTGAGCGGTAAGAATTTGATTTCCTAAAGTACTAGTACTGGTGAAATTTGGCAGAGACGTA